ATTTTACTTACTCGCTTTTTATTATTCATCTCTCACTAGTTCCTACTTAAGTCTTAATTTTTTTTTCATGATAAAAAGCTAAAACAACTGGCAAAAAATAATTTAAATTAGTCAGATTTAAATAGTAGGTTATATTATATACATATATATTTTTTCTTCTCAATATAAATATAGATCTGTACAGTGAATTCAACAATATTCTGACCAGAAAAAAAATATTAATTTGACTACAATGTATTATAATATACACATCGAATCTCTCAAAATATAAAAAAAAAAACTATCACAATAAAACGTTTCTTCATTTCTTTTTTTTTGTTTTAAAAATGTCTCATGAGAAATTAGTTAATCAGACAAACACTATTGCTTATGCTGTAGAGAGAGAGAGAGAGGAGAGAAGAAAAGTTTAAAGGAAAGGAATAATATTTATGACAAAAGATCTGTGTACGCACATGCGTATCTCTCTTAGTACACACCTATCTCTATCTTCATGTATGTATGCACTTGTGGACACATCTATTAACACTCATATTTTAATGAATATATATATATATATATATATATATATATATATATATGAGTACAACTTTGAAGCTACTATCTTTTCATTCATGGTTATGTTTTTTAATTTTTGGTTAAATTTTTTACTTGTTCATTTGTTTTTTTCTATCTCCTCTTCAATTCTTATTTCTTAAACTCAAGAAACTGTTTAATTAACTTAAACAATAAAAACTTATAACTTCTGTTATAGGATACTTATTAAAAAGTCTACCAAATTATATACATGAAACATAGATTAGATTAGATTTGTGTCGATAATATTTTTCTATCAATATTTATATAAATTTTGTCTAAATGAATAAAACTGTTTGGTGAAAGTGAAGTGATTCGAATATATGGTTGTCATCGTTATGAGAAAGTGTCAAGAAGCGAACATTTGGTTCAAGACAAAACTCTTCTGAAATAAGTAAAATCTTTTCATCAACTAAATGCTACTGAAAATGAAGTAAAGCTGAAGTAACTTCATTTCATCTCATAAATATGGCATAAAAATGTAAACAATTACTATCCTATTTAATTGCCACTTAGAATAAACTAGTTATTTTGAAATTATCTAGGATCTTTGAGAATGGCTATTCTGATATAAACTGTACTAAGCAGTAAAATCACTGAACTTTGAAATATAAATTTCAACAGTGTATTGGTTTGACTAAATACATTACTTTTTGCATTTAATCTTAATTCTGTTACACTCGTGTTAACCACTTTTATCGTTAAACAGTTTCACAGTTACTTTAATGATCATAGGTGTAGTTCGGATAACGCAATAAAATAATTTATTCTACGAAGAAATGTTATTTGAAAATAATGATTTGAATAAGCTAAATAGTTTTGTTTAAACGCTGTAAAACCGTGAGATTATGAGCGAATCATAGGAGATTACATAAGTTGTTATTTTCTCCATGTTTAAAAGTCGATAAACGCTTATTTTCAATTACGAAATATTAACAATGAATTTTTGTATTATCTTAGCTCAAATCTTAGTGCTAATATTTGGGTAAGTCCAGCGCTAAATAGGAAAGAAGGCACAATCGAATATAAATAGTAATTTTAATAATATGTCAGAAAATCGCACGTATAAGAAAAAAGTTAGCTTAACATCTTATAACATCTATATACGGTGTCTGCAAGTATAAGATAGATGTGAAACTATTGATGAATTATCATATGAATAAAAGTTTGAATAAATTAAGTACAGTTTAAATTTTACTAAGAAATTCAATGACATACTACGCAAAAATTTTAAGATAATGAATCATGAAGGTTTTGATATGAATATGATAGCTGTACTCATTGTATTTGTGTAAGAAAGTCAAACGTCCCTTCATTTATTTTAACATATACTATTGTTTTAAGAAGTTAACAATGAAAAGTATTTATCAATCGGTTTCATTTTCTATGTAAACAGAATAATAAAATAAATTGACTAAGTTATTTGAATCTTTCAAACCAATTAACTTCGTATCATGCATGATGAAAGAAAAGATTTATGATATTTGTTGATCATAAACAGGTTGTGATGTTGATTTTCTATTCCTTACTTTTCATATATTCTACTTAGATAAACTTAATGAAAACTTACAAATCATTAATAACCAACCTTTGTTGAATGTATGTAAAACGAACTTCATAGGAAACTAATTTACCAGTGGATATTTTGGCGATTGGTGAATAATTCAATAGTAGTTTGTAAATTTGTTTTAAAGAAATGCAGAGATACAAAAACCAATATATTGTACAAAATTTCTCTCACTAATTTTTATTTAAATAATACATAAATATTATGAAATAATCCATCAACTTTAATTTAATTAATCTAAAAGAATGTTTTCAGTAGGATTTGATGAATAAGTATTAACATGATAAGAGTTTGTTGGTTGAAAAGAGGTGACATTGCTTTTTCTTGTCAACCAGTAAAAATACCCTATAACGTTATATTATTGTTGAATAGTATTTGAAAACAATGAAGAGATCATTAATGAGAGTACGCATAGTTAAATGTATCTATTTCCTGTTCATTTTTCTTCTTGCTTTTATGCATTCTTTGTAAAATAATAATCATTTTGAAATCTGTCAATGAGACTACCCACGATGAAATTAAATCTTAAAATAGAATTAGATTTAACAATTCTGTCAGTGTTTTACATCTGAAAATTATGTGCAAAATGGTTTTAAATAGATGATATATATATGTGTAATGTTCACATTGAAATATGTTTTTCAATATTTGTTAGTATTTCGAGAGTCGATTCTTAGAATTTATTTAATATTGTAACAATTTATTCAGAAAAATTTCAAAGAATTCACATGTTTAATAGGAATTATTTAACATTTTACATTCTCATTGAAAACTTGATTTGTATTAACGTCTATAGATAATACTTTAACACTTACATGTTTTTAAAAAAATGTTTATGAAAAAAAGGGAATAATTCAGATACAGTACAATTGCTGTGTACACATAGTACAATTAAATTGAAGAGTAAATAAATCTTTTTTTTATTGAATTCATAATGCAAAAAGAAGAAAATCTGTGTAAATTCAAAGAACAACACTGAACAGGTTTTTTTTAGGCTTTGTTTAAAAAATCCACATGTTAACTATGAATAACAATTTTTTTGTAAACTTATCTAATTTGAAATAAATAGAAAAACACTTTTGTTTTTACAAATTATTGTTTTCAACAATGTATTTCTGCAAAAATTTAAATATCTCAGTAGAGAAATCCATTCATATTATCATGAATTATTTGATAAGAAAGTCTGATTTCTTGCATTTTTTAACAAGTAACTCATGGACTCATATTTATCATATGTGTGTATATGTTAACATGTCTAATATTCAACACTTCTGGGGAAACAGATAGTCGGTAAGAGTGATCTTCTAGAAATTGAAATTGTTTGAATATAATTTGTGAAAAGTTTTATAAAAGGGTTGTTCATTTTCCACAAATCTTTCACTTTCAACAATTCCTATTGATCAGCTTTAATTTATTTGTTCTAAGCAACCAAAACAACAAAATTTATTTTGAAAAATCTACCCTCTCTAGGATAATATTAAATATGTCAAGCGTGTAATTATAAAAAGAGGTGTGTTATAATTATAAATAATTTACATTTCTTCTTATTTTATAAGTGATATAGTTTTTTTTTTGTCACCTGTAAACATAATGTAACACTGTGAAAATTAGATTTACTTTGATTATGCCCGCAAAATGCATCAACTGTTTAATACTCAGTCAATCAGTTTAACCAAATTTTATTTTACAAAGAGTTTTGTTGTTTGTTGTTACTTTTGTTCATTAAACAAAAATGACATACCAGATAATAACAAGCGCTTGCGTCTATATATATATATATATATATATATATATATATATATATATATATATATATATATATATATATATATAAGTTTGTAAACAATTAATAATTCACTACATTCAAGTTTCTATCTTTTTTGTAAAGTGAACTAAATTAACAATTATATATTTTCGTCAAAGTCTATTAAATGATTAGTAGGTAAAAATTCTTTTCCAAACACAACTTAAAACTGTACTGTTCAAAGAAAACAAGTACAGGAAAAAATTCATTGAAGTTTCATGGAATATAACATGCCTGATCAAGATACATGGAAAAAATTAAATTATTTTATTGAAAAATTTCGTTAGATTGACTCATTTTAAATCGTGAAATGAAACTATCATGTTTTGAGAAAAACTTAAAAGAAATATACTAAAGATAAAAATCACTCAATGTAAACCAATTATTAAAATATAATTTTATTGACAATTTTCATTATTCAGTGAGAATGCTAAGCAAGTGATGACTAGTTTCTGCTGTCAGGTTATAGTAACCGGAAGAGTTATCGAAGAGAATCGTGATATCTAACGGTGATATTACCTGTAAAATATTTATTATTTCAGATACTTCTGGAAACCGGGAACTATCCACATTTTAAATAAAATTATTTGTGGCTTAAAAATCCAGCATCTTAACCTCTAATTAGCAAACAAGTTATTGGTTTGCGGTTTGTAATATCATTCAACCTACTATGTCTCGTGGTAGTAACAATTATTTTGTAAAATCATTTAGCTCAAAACCAAGCATACAGTTATGTGAACTATTCTTCAACATCATTACGATTACTGGATTTGGTGGATACCAGGTAGTGAGGTTTTTTTAATAAACACAATCATAAACATGTTGCTCATTTTGACCTCAGAGATTTTTTAACTGAGTATGAGATGCGTTTCATCAAAAACAATCGAGCAGAAATTATAACTTTACTGAAAGCTGTGACAAGCCTTGGAACAGTATAAAATTGATAATGATAGTATAAATGACATTATTCATATTCAAATTATGTCATATATAAATTATGTTTTAAATCTTGAACATGCTTACTGAATAAATTTCTTTCTAAATTTTATTTTGAAGATAATGGTTCAGAGTTACCTATCCCTAATGCTTTCAACTTATCAAGCGGAGCATATTTTTGGCTATATAACTCTCAATGCAAGGGTCCGAAGGCCTCTCCATTATTAAATTTTACAAACACCACGATTTTGAATGCTTCAGCTGAAGATGATCAATCTAGCTTGACAAGAAATTGTCCTTCAAATGTCTATCAAGATGATTTTGTCTCTTCAACTGCATCTTCTCGTGCAATTCATCCAATGATACATTATCCCATATCTTCATTATCTTTGCCAGGATATCCATTTGTTGTTTTTGAAGATCCCGTCCAAAGACGATATGACTTAGTTCATTGCTCGAAATTGCGTCGAGGTGATGGTAATGATGTGACTCCAAATTTAATGCGTTTACGTTCTATGGGAGAAGAACTTGCTCATTTGAATAGGAATATTACAGCTCAAGGTGAGTTGATTGCCGCTAGTGCAAGTTCAGTACTTGATCATCCAGATATTAATTTGGATTTTAAAGTAATTGAAGATCTTTCTGGAAGTGTCTTCAACTCGAAAATAGTTGAGCAGGCAAAACGCGAAAAAAACAAGTTGGCTAGCAAGTAAGTTGTATAACATTAGATATCAGGAGTGTAAATATTTTACAACAAACATATTCAGTGCTTTTATAGAGATAAAGTAACCTTTATTCGTCATCATTCAGGATAATTAAGTTGTTTACATATAACGGATCAAAACAGATATAAATAGTGTAGGAAAAATTCGCTTTTAAATTTTCTACCAAGAACTTGTTTAGTTAAACAACTATTAAAAATCAGGAAGCGTCGGACATATTTTTCAATCTTTTAATAACCCAAAACCTTGTTTAAAGTTACGCCATCGATGACTGAGAATCGATCGATCATTCTTAAGTTTCATAAGTGAACTCTTCTTATATTGATGTTTGTATAAACAAATAAATTACATCAAAACTCGGTTAACTACCTTTACGATGTTCAAGAATTCGTTTAAACAGCGGTCAAAGATTCTGGAAAATGATCATGTTTACTTTTTATATGTCGAAAAAATTTGCAAGTGTCAAAGCTACTCGCAGATTCACTGTAATTGTGAGAAAATCTCTGTCATTTTGCTGATAAAATTAGATTTATGACGTACGGAATAAAGGTGCCTAGAACAGAAATTTCAATAAATTTTTCGTAAACTTTATGTCAGAGGAGATATAATGTGAATTTCGACTGTCAGTTTATAATGTGGTAAACACTGTAGATAAGATATTTAATTTTCTCTGATTTAGGGCTTCATACTTTTCGCAAAAGTATTATTTAGTTTGTTTTCAGCTTGTCTTTTTATCTTATATCATATAAATTATTTATAAAAACTGAATAGATTTTACTGGATAACTAGTTGACTCTATTTCTAGGTGTCTTAATACTCTGATTGTGATTTCTGAATTCGTTTACATGTGAATGTATGATCATGATTGATATTTCACTGGCTGATCTACTGTAAACTAAGTCATATAATTTTGGAGAGATGTACACAAATTATAAAACTGAGATTAGAACTAAAAAGGAACTAAAGCAAGATTGATATATCTGTATAGATATATAAAAAGCATAATAGATGTTTTATGGAATAACAATTCAGAGAAAATGACGTCCACAACTACAAAGTTACATATTTCTATGAGCTATAAAGTAATAATATCAAGAATTTAGTTAAGTTATTTTTAAAAAATCTGTTTTGGATGATTGCTTGATGACAGCAGCATAAGCTAGTTTCCTGAATCGAACTCAAAATATCTACTCATTCTTAATTTTTCAATGGTTTCTTAGGTTAACAACTTTCTTTCCTTAAACATTATATTTTGTTACATTTTCTTTTTAGTTTTTAATACGCTTTTCCCATTTTACTGTTAGTATTGTTCTGATGCTTTCAGTGAAAGCTGTGTCCTATGCAGGTGTAAAGCTTACTTGCATAAAAGTAACTCTCTTGAGGTATGGCAAAGTTAGAATTCGACAAACTAAATCTTATCATTTAGAACTAACTTCATATTGTATTAGTTTGCTTATGCTGAATAGTCAAAAATAAGAATGGATTACATTTCAAATCCCATAATTTATTTCAACAATAAGATCTTCCATAGTTTACTTTATTCGAAAAGAACTTCATGAAAAAAAAACAATATCATGAGAACCTTTTATAATGAATATATATATATATGTATATATATATATTAAGGCATAATAGATATCACGAAATCTGTGTAACAATAATCATTTGGTCATTGTCTATTATTATCTCAATGTATTATTTATTGCTTAAATAGATTTTGTATTTATCTTTCCATTGATAATTCAATGACTGTCTTAATTGTCTACAACTTCATTTAGTCTATTCATTTATTCATTGATATCATGACTCACGAATTCGATAATAATCTTTTGACTGGATATAATTTTGGTTATTTTACTCTTTTGAACATCCATGTGATTTTGTTACTAAATAGTTCTTCACCATATATATGTATATATATATATATATATATATATATATATACGTATTTAGTTTTTATGACAAATGATAAACTGTAGTTTTGTAAAGAAACGTAGTCATGAAAGAATACTTCCATGTCACTTATCTTGAATTCATCTAATTGGAACCTCCTATAAAAAAGAAAGAAGTATTGAGATAATTATCAATACAATAGTATATACGACACTCTTCGAAAATTCCATTACGCAATCTACCGCGATTCAATCATATTCACTTTAATAGTTTGCATTCTTCAGTTCATTCAATACGAAAATAATTTCTAATGGCTTAACAAACATAGTTGTATACAGTTTAATGGAGATTATTTTGGTTAATTGAGAAGTGATCTAATAATAATATTGTTTTATAATGAAATCTATTTATTTTAATGAATGAAATAGTGAGCAAAAATGTCGTACCTTGTTGACGTTGAAATCAATTTACTAAGCGGAATTCGGTCATTTATTTGTTTGTAAGTTATTTATTCATTCGGTTACTTGACATAAATGCTCTGCATAATGATAAATATTTATTAACGGTCGACTGTGTAATATTCAGTTGCAATGGCTGAGTAAATACTACCCTGTCATCTGCTGATTTAGTGATGCTTAATACTTTGAAATTTAGTTCATTAAATGTTCTATATCAAATAATACTATCAGCATAATTAGAAGTTATTACTTCTCATTCCAATCGAATAATGTAGCGATTAAAAACGATAAAAGCTGTAATTTAATAGAAACTATGAAAGTCACTCATAGTCCAACTTCAGTTAAGATGTAAGTGTCAAAGTTTTCATGAAGTTCTTTAAATTAAAATTATAAATCCTACTTCTGGATTTTCAATACAACGTTTATGTCACACTAAGGTAATCTAGTTAACCAGCTAAAAGGTAAATCAAAATTTGTACTTACTGCATCACAGATATAAGTAAAATATTCTCTTTATTATAAGTCAAATCAATTGTTCGAGCCAGGAATTAAAGAGGAGGAAACTAGCAAAATTACTGAAATCCAATAATAATTCTTCTGGCGGTTGATTTTTTATCGATTAATCAGGGTACGCACTAAATATGAAGTGCGATTTTCATAGGACAAACATTCCCTGATAAATTTGACTTCATGTAACCTAACTTCACAGTCAGAGATATAACTAGTGAGCTATTCATACCTTGACTAACTTACCAACAGACTGAAGAATTTGCAAGTGACTTATCAGTGGGTAGTGATCAGTGTTCTGTTTGTCTAATCCTTTGAATATATATATATATATATATATATATATATATATATATCTTACAAAACACTACAGTATGAGAGAATGAATGTGATCAGTAGCAGATAGATTAGTTAAGCACAACAGTTGTTACAAACCGGTTAGTGATAAGTAATAAATTCTAAAAACTAAATCTGAAAAATTTACATTTAATTAAAAAGAATCTCATTATTGAAACACAACTTTCTACTAAACTATTGGAAAATTAATTTTTAACAGACTATTCGATTCCATAGTACTGATATTTGGCGTTACAGTAAATATTAGTTTAACAGGGAGTAAATCAAGTTCAAATGAGTTTTCTGTTTTGTAAAATGAATTTTAAATGTAAACAATACATAATCAAAACTATGAATAACAATTTAGCCCTATTTGTGTTACGATTTCATATGAATTTGTACTTCTTTATAAAAATTTCTATTCATGAGTAAAATATTTTAGTAATTAAATTTTGAATAAACTAGACTTAAATTTATAAACTATTTTGACAGCGTTTTTTTTCTTAAAAAAGAAAAGAAAATGGTATTCGAGAACCGTTTTAAATTTTTTTTTATACCTAATGACTTTAACACTGTAAAATACCTTAACCCAGTAATAGTGAAATTTACTAACATAAGTCTTTATAATGTTTCATAGAACACTCCTATGGAATTACAATTTACTCAACATTAATAACACTTTCAATAAGTAAGATTTTTACATGTACATATTTCTTTTTAGAATTTGTCGTCTTAAAAAGAAGGCCTTTCATGAAGCTAATAAAATTAAATATCTTGGATTGGAAATTGAATATAGTAAGTTGAATTTTGAACTTATTATTCTATTGTTTATATTTTTTTTTATCATCAGAAAAAAAATGTCCTAATTTTTTCTGTAGAAGTTTATGATGTTAAAATTGTTTTTAAAAAATGCATGCTTTCATGAGAAGTAACGTTTTAATAATTTAAGGTTATTATCTTTGCTGGCTTATGAACAAATAAACGTAGATGAGATTCAATGTAGATAATATTTCTTAATTTTATACTCCATAGTGAAATCATGTTCGGCCATTATCTTTTAGGCTAATAGTCAGTTTGTTTGTATGTCAGGAAAACTGTTCAAAATCATTTTACTAAATATTTTTGCTCATCAACCTCAAACATGTATTTCATGAAGTTTACAACAAATTTTTATGTGTAAATGGAATACAGAATAATGAATTATAATCATACAAATGGAATTATTCAAAAATAACATTTGAACAACTAAATATTGATAGATTTATCTTTTCGAAGCCTGTCATTGACGTAAGTATTTTTTTAAATCAAGGCATACTGGACAACTGTTTGATCCTAATGTAAAGATACCTATCAAAAATATTGGGATAAAGCTAACTAATAAAGCATTGTTACAAGACAAAATCATGAAGGTTTGAACACCTCTCTGAGTTGCGTTTTTTTGCTTATAGATCATTGTGGATATTAGGTTTTTAAATGGTCACTTAACAGAAACGATTATATAATTACACATTAACTACTAATTAATCACGCATATATGAATCTCCTAACTTATGTTGTCAGTTGACTAAGTAATCATAAAAGTCGATGTTCATAGGTGCTATTGCCACGACGGTAGATCGATTAGTCCTTAAACTTAAGGACGTCAGTCTGTCTGAACTTCTTGAATTAATTACTTGTTTGCTAAATAATGGAAGTGCTCATAAACATTCTTGTTTGAGATTTATTTTAACGTTATACAAGCGGTAAACAAATAGTTATTGGACGAAATGGTGAACGCAGTTGGTTGCCATTTTATTTGCCGATATTGTGTAAAAGGACAGTTTATCAATTATGACGACTGTTAAAAAAACTATACATAGCACCAAAATATATTTCAATTGTTATTAATGAATTTATTCGTAGATGTTTTTGAAAACCTCACTTTATGATGAAACACATGTAGCTTATTTCAAGAGATAACACTGTTGACTTGTCCATCTTTTTTAAGTCTTTACAAACAAAGCAACAATTACAGATAAAGTGACTGAAAAAAACTATCCTAATTTATTACAGCTTAAAAAGATTTCATAAGTAATTTAGATATATCGATGCATTTATTATTCTAGGTAGTATTTAAATTTTCTAGTGTAAGATCCTACATTTAATTAAAGTTGAACAAGTAGAAGGTGAACATCATCATATCTATTGAGCAAAACAATTATGTAAACTGTACAGAAATATACAGACGAATTAACAATGAATTCGAATAGGTGATAGATATGTTAAGATATCTAAAATATAAACATGATATTTAAAACTAGATTGAATCCATTGAAAATTTTCTCTATATGTCGAACCGATATATATTATTGATTATCCAATTAATGAATTAATTACTTTTTTATTTGTCTACAATTTTCTGCTGTTTTATTTTGATATGGTCACTTCAAATAAATGTATTTACATTGGATAAAAATGTTTATCAGTTCGAGATCATTAAAAATAAAAACACAAATTTTTTCAAAGAATAGACTGTTTTTCGGTTCACAGCTCTTTCATAGCTAAGATTATGTTTAGAAACATCATGTGTGCTTTACCATAAGATTTTAACTAAATCGCCTCGGAATATGAGATTGATTAAATGCTCTAATGTGAACAAACCTGAAAAAAACTAAAGTTTGCAACAATCGTGTTACAGGTTTGTTTCTTATTTAGAAATTATTGTTGAGTAAATTGTTCACTTATTGTTCTAATCTATAGTTTACGAGTATTTTCTGTGACAAAGAATTCAATACGTAATTTTAACCAAAATAACAATTCATCTCTTTTAAAACAGTAAATTTCTGGAAATAGCAAAAGACTGTGCTTTATTTTCTGTTCATACTACCAACGTACTGAGTTATTTGACTAAACAATTTGCAGACATCATAAAATCAATTCATTTGTTTATATCAATAGAAAATGTTGTGAAGTTTATGGAATTTTTCTTTAATTTGTAAATTACAAATTATTACTATTTACCACACCATACAGATTTATTCAAATATCAGAGTGTTAATCAAATAACAATATGAAAAACAATAAAAACAAAATTATCTTTTTTTAAAATCTCCAGATGAATAGACATTTAAGTAGTTAGACCATAAAACATAGGTAAACAATAGATTAGTGTGTAACATTACTTACTTACTTACTTTCGCCTGTTACCCCCAATGGAGCATAGGCCGCCCACCAGTTTTCTCCAACCAACTCTGTCCTGGGCTTCCCTCTCCAGTTCTGTCCAATGTTTGTTCATTCCTCTCATATCTTTCTCTATTTCTCGGCGTAGTGTGTTCCTTGGCCTTCCTCTTTTCCTTTTGCCTTGAGGGTTCCATGTGAGGGCTTGTCTAGTGACGCAGTTGGGTGCTTTTCGTAGTGTATGTCCTATCCATTTCCACCGCTTCTTCCTGATTTCCTCCTCCATTGGAATCTGACTTGTTCTCTCCCACAGTTCGTTGTTGCTGATGGTGTCTGGCCAACGAATACGAAGTATTTTGCGTAGACAACTGTTAATAAACACTTGTATCTTCTGGATGATGGCTTTGGTAGTTCTCCATGTTTCCGCTCCATACAGTAGAACTGTCTTGACATTTGTATTGAAGATCCTGATTTTGGTTTTGTTTGAAAGTTGTTTGGAGTTCCAGATATTTTTCAACTGTAGAAATGCAGCCCTTGCTTTGCCGATCCGCGCCCTCACATCTGCGTCCGATCCACCTTTCTCGTCGATGATGCTGCCAAGATATGTGAAGGTGTTAACGTCCTCCAAGGTATCTCCATCAAGCGTGATTCGGTTGGTGCATGTTGTGTTGCATCGGAGAGTTTTGCTTTTTCCTTTATGTATGTTGAGACCTACTGCTGCAGAGGCTGCTGCTACACTGTCGTCTTCTCTTGCATTTGTTGTTGAGTGTGCGATAGAAGAGCCAGGTCATCTGCGAAGTCCAGATCGTCCAGCTGCGTCCTAACTGTCCAGTTGATATCAACAAGGTAATTAAAATACTTACATAATGTATGTGAATGTTTAGAATACTCCTAATTAACAATATAACCATCAAATAAATGAATAAACAGTCGATTATTCAAATTAATCTTTTTTTATTTACTTTGGTTTCATATTGAAATTAAAGATAAACGACAAGGCAAAAAAACAAACCAACAATACTGAGTACACCATTGACAGTATGAACATGAAAATAATTGTATTTTTGAATTAAGTCTTTTTAAGATTTAATATGAGACAATTAAACATTTGTGATATCTGTATACATTTGTTACTTATATTGGACAGTGTAGGCTTTTGTTTTTCTGTTGAATATAAATCTTGAATTGTGTATTGGCTATCAGATTTATTGATTTTATCTACATTAATATAGTCAAATCATGTGTTATACATTTTTGAAATCAAAGAGGATGTTTTTTTGTTGTGCTGCTGTTTCTATATCGTATTATTGGTGAAGTGAAATTGAAACCTTTGTCTATCTAGTTTAACATTTTGGCGTTTTCTCTGTGTGCTAAGATGTGTATACATTTAATGAATTATCAACTTAGCTAATTAAGTTTATATAATTCTGAATTAAAACTACAGGCATGCTAACTGTTAGGACTGTTCAACGAGTTCTTAAAATAAAGATATTTTTTGACTTTAGATTTATGGCCGTTATTTCATTTAGTTACCCGAGAGAATGAATAATGTAATGATATAAGATTAAATTTTCAAATGGTACATGATTATAATCACACTGCTATATGACCTCTGTTAAAGGACGAAAAATAAAACCAGTTATGTATTCATTTTGATTTATTTGACTCAACGATAAATTTACGGGTTAACATCATCCAGACAAGATATATTAGTTCATCATTATTTAGTGTACTTTCGATGATGCGAAATGTTCATAGGCTTGATACCATGTGCTAAGTGGTAAATAATTAAACGGATATTTATTGTATTGTGAAAATATTTAGTGGAAGAATAAATTGCATACTGTTAGAATTTTCAGTAGTATTAGTCTTGGAGTGTAAATTCGAGTTCAAGTGAATGCTAACTCTATTTCAGTGACTTTTCAACAAGGTCTGTATCCAAATCTAAATATTTACTATTTCAGAATTATTGTTTGTTGATACCAAATTAACTTTGGTTGAAGATGATTACATTTTACTAGGTGAAGATGCACGTGGTCATGCTGAAAATCACCATCTTCACGAGCGTCAGACAGAATACAGTCTTAAGAAACAAAAGCTGATCTACAACTCGTAATCAAGTGTCTTAGAATATGTCTGAACAGTTAAATCCAAATTTAATAGAGATTCATCTAAACATTTAAAATATAGACGTTCCTGTGAGAGGTGATGTAAGATGTTTAGAATGTGATAAAAATGACATCTGTGTACGTTTTTATCTAAAAGCAGATCAAGTGTTCATGAATAAATCAAGTGCCCTTTATAATGGTCGTCTTTTAAGAATTCTGTACGCTATTTCATATTGTGCTCTTTTTTTAACAGGATATCTCAGGATTTGTCCCCAAACTTCAATGAGCTAAAAGTGAATAGTTTCATGATTTAATCAGAAGAATACATTTACGCATCCCAATGAGTATCTGTTTCCTACACCCGAATAGTTATAACAATCTTTTGCTTACAGACGACTGTTCAGACTAGCAATGTATAATTCTTATATATAAATATGCTACTTAAGTATAGCAAGTAGCATCCCTTGTTCGACAAAATATTTCAGAGTTAATGCATCATCATTTATTGTCGAATCATTAAAACAAATAATT